ACATCCCTGATGCCCCTGCTTCCTGATTTGAACCATGTGGTGTTACCCGGCTCTGTTCTGAGGACTGCGTCCTGGTCCAAGTACAGGTTTCCCATATTCTAACGAGACCACATGATCTTCAACTGTATAGCCAGAAGAACAGGATTGTGTCAGGCCATCACTGCTGATGACTCTAAGAGGGATGATCTCTGTAACCCTTTGAGCCTGGAACAGAGTCCCCTCTGTAGCTCAACCTTCAGTCAAACACTACATATGTTTTTAAGATAAACAATAGTACATATGTTTTTAAGATAAACAATAGCACCAGGAAGGTACTTGTTCATTGTAACAGTGATATGAGATCACAAGGACAATATTGGCTTACAGAGAAAGTATAGAAAGCAGGAGGGACAGGATAGAAGGATGAAAGGCCATGAGGGTCACAAGGATGCTGTTAATGGGGACTATAATCAATACCATAAAACAAAATCTATATTGATGGAAAACCAATGGCCTTGTAAACTTTTACTCAAAACACAGTTAATAATTCCAGTTATTTCTAACTCAGAGAGTGGATGGAAGAATTAAAGAAATATTTGAGAAGACATTTTAAAATGTCATTTATAATTATTGGTAAATGATTATTTTTTTAAAAAAAATCTAGAAATAATATAGGAGACTTTTTCTACCTAAAAATAATTTTTTTAGGTCAATAGTCTCAGATGATATGGACTAGCTTCTAAGTTTCTTATTCCAAGATCTGGGAGATGAGATGTGTGTTGGGGCTCGATTTGCCCCTTAGGTTTCTATCCATAGGACATAAAGCAGTCCTGGAGTTTCTAGAAGAATGAAACCTTGGGTAATTATTAGAAAACCAACTGTGTCTCCAATAAGATTATCCTTCCTTTTCGTGTATTCTTTTGCTTGAAGCCTATTTTGAAGGTACTGGAGACACATTCTGTGTGTTTGTTTGTTTTTAATTAACTTTCATGAAAGTATACAGAGACTTTTCTCCCTACCCAACCCCTCTCCCCCAATTAACTCTTCTCTTTGAAAAGAATAAGAAAATCCCTCCCCCCAAGTCCACTCCGCTATGCAGCCTTCAACTTCTGTAATGACAAGAATACCCGTTCATATATCCCTTTTAAACAGTTCTCTCCCCCATCTGTTTCAAAGCAATATACATCATTCTTCCCTTCCCTCAACCCCAATGTCAGTGCCGTTTTACAATAGTGGCCATATTCTATATTTGTTCTTTTGTGACGGAGATATTTCACTCACTGAAATGTCCTCAAGGGATATCCATTTTGCATAATATTTCATGAGTTCCTTGTTTTTCAATGTTGCATAGTATTCCATCATGTGAATGTACCAGAGCTTCTCTATCCATTTGTTTGTTGATGGGCACTTGAGCTGTTTCCAGCTCTTTGCTATTGCGAACAAAGCTTCAATAAACATGGGTGTGCATATATCTGCTTGGGTGGCAGTTATGGTTTCTTTAGGGTAAATTCCCAGTAGTGGAATTGCTGGGTCAAATGGTATTTCTATTTGCAACTTTTTGAGAAAGTGCCATACAGCCTTCCATAGTGTTTGCACCATTTTACACTCCTACCAACAGTGAAAAAGGGTCCCAGTTTCTCTACAACCTTGTCAGAATTTGATGTTTGCTGTTCTGTTAAATTTTGCTATTCTTACTGGGGTGAGATAATATCTTAGTTTTTTTAATTTGCATCTCTCTTAGAGCTAGGGATTTTGAACATTTCTTCATGTGTTTGTTTGCCACCTAACCAGAAGCACAAAGGATCTGTTCAAAGAAAATAATAAAACATTATTATAAGAAACAAAAAGATAACTGGAAAGGTAGAAGCATATCCTTTGCTCATGGATAGGAAGACTCAATATTGTGAAAATGACAGTACTACTAAAGGCAATTTACACTTTGAATGCAATCCCAATATAAATACCAATTCCATTCTTCAACAAGATGGGAAAGGCAATCTCCAATTTCAATTGGAATGGAAAGAGGCCCAGAATAAGCAAAGCACTCCTTAAAAAGAGAAACAAGGTAGGTGGCACCTCACTCCCTGATTTCAAATCAAACTGCACTGCAGTGGCGGTCAAGACAGCATGGTACTGATACAATGACAGACACATAGATCAATGGAATAGAATTGAGAATCCAGAAATCAGTCCATCTACGATCTATGGTCAACTGTTTTTGACAAGGGCAAATCAATTAAGTGGGGAAATGACAGGCTTTTTAACAAATGGTGCTGGTGAAATTGGAAAACTATCTGCAGAAAACTCAAGCAAGATCCAAACCTCACTCCATATACAAAAACCAATTCAAAGTGGATTATGGACCTAGGACTAAAACCAAGGACTATAAACTTCATTAAAGAAAAGCTTGGAAGGACTCTAGAAGTCCTAACCCATAGCATCAACAGTCTTCCAAGCATCCTGGAAAATCTACAACCAGGAGAGGATAAAATAGATGAATGGGACCTTCTAAGAATTAAATCCCTATGCACATCCAAAAATGTCTCTAACAGGGTAAAAAGGGAAGCCACAGACTAGGGAAAAATATTTGATAATGACATGTCTGTCAAGGGACTTATATCTAGAATTTATAAAACACTCGAGCACCACTACAAGATAAAAGTAAATAACCCAATTGAAAAATGGGCACAGGATATGAACAGACACATTCTGTTTTGAAAAGGATTTAACTCTATTTTGATCAAGAGACACCTAATTTTAGTAGCAATTTAGATAAATAAGGGAGACAGGAAGGAAGGTAGAAGATTAGTCAACACAGAGAGACAAGACAAAAAAGCATAGAGGACAGGTTGGTAAAAGGAAAGGGTGATAGATAGAGGATGACAAATAAGCATGTTGTTCTGTATCATCGATTTGGAACTGATCCATAGCTGACCCCCAATGGGTTTTCTGAGACCATAAATCACATGGGAGGAAATTGCTCCTGTGGAGCAGCTGGTGGATTTGAACCATGTGCCTTAGGGACAGCAGTGCAGTCCCTCACCATTATGCCACCAGAACTCCCTGACAAATAAGTATAAGAAGTACAAATAAGCAAATGGGCAAAGAAGGGAATGAAAATGCAAGCAGGACAGACATGTGCAGTCTTTTATATCCTACCTTCACTTGGCTCTGGATCTGGAAATTGAAGGTTTCATTCCACTCTGGGTCTGGGCAGTTGGAGATGGTCTTAGTTCTCATCTTCTTATGGGAGGCAGTGGGCAGCCAGAGGCTTACATAGCAGTCTGTCTGGCTCACTGTCCAACGAAAAGGAGAGGTTATGGAGTTAGAATTTCTGATAAGTCATTTCCAGAGTAAGCCTCCATTCATCTCCAGGTCCTATCCCAACTCACAGGTTTGAATCCAGAGACCTGTGTCTCAGAACCATGAAAAGTTCTCAGACTAGAGGTTATGGGTTCTACAGAGGGTAGTCTAGGTCTCAGTGACCATTGTTTGGACACAGATGGCCTCTGACTCTTATTAGAAGAAGTACCTTGGCTTGAGGAGAAAAGTGCTGCTGGGTTTAGATAAGATATTGTCTTACAGATAACTGTCAGGTATTAGGAAGGAATACTGCCTTCTATGAATTGGCCAGTGGCAAGTAGCTGTGTTGCAATCCCGAAGGCAAATAAATGGTTAGAGGCCATCTGCTGCCCCATGGGAGAAGGGCTGGGCAATCTCCTTTCATGTGATTAACTGCCTCTGAAAACTGCTGGAGGGTCATGTATGGGTCAGTCCTGACACTACAGTACACAACAACAAACAACATGAATTGGCTAAGAAACTCCTCTGCGGTAAAGGGATAAGCTGACCAGGAGGATCTAGAAGCAAGGTCAACTCTCTCCATGTGTCTTAATGCCTCCAGTGCCCTGCTGAGCTCTAAGCTCTTCACACCCAAGTCCTTTCTTCATGTATGTCTTTCAATTATATGAATTTTTCCTACAATTTATCTGGTCTTCATTCCTTAGTGTTCAATGCATCAAATCTATTCTTGAATAAAGAATTCTATTCTCTAAATTCAAGTAGAAGGGTGTACGCCAGGGATGCATCCTGTCTCCATACCTTTTCAACATGTATGCAGAGCAGATTATCCGAGAAGCTGGGCTCTATGAGGAGAATTGTGGCATCAGGATTGGTGGAAGATCTATTAACAATCTGCGTTATGCAGATGACACAACCCTGCTTGCTGAAACTGAGGAGGACCTCATGCACTTGCTGCAAAGGGTCAAGGACTGCAGCCTTCAGTATGGACTGAGGCTCAATGTCAAGAAGACAAAGATTCTCGCCACTGGACCAATTGGCAGTGTCAGGATGGATGACGAAGAGATTGAGAGTGTTCACAGCTTCACTTTGCTTGGCTCCACAGTCAACACTCTTGGCACCAGCAGTCAGGAAATCAAAAAGCGTATCGCGATGGGAAAGTCTGCTGTTAGGGACCTCTCAAAGGTACTCAGGAGCAACAGTGTCTCTCTGGAGACTAAGGTGCGCCTGATACAGGTCATGGTCTTTGCAATCGCTTGTTATGCATCAGAGAGTTGGACAATGACTAGGGAGGACAGAAGGAGAGTGGATGCTTTTGAGCTGTGGTGCTGGAGAAGGGTACTGAATGTACCATGGGCTGCCAGGAAAACAAACAGATTCATCTTGGAGAGGATTAAGCCAAGCTACTCCTTGGAGGCAAGGATTCTGGGGCTTCATCTGACATACTTTGGACATGTTGCCAGGAGGGACGGGTCCTTGGAGAGGGACATCATGCTTGGGAGGGTGGAGGGACGGCGCAGGAGGGGAAGACCCTCTATGAGATGGATTGATTCACTGACTGGGGTAATCGGGATGGGTGTGTCAGAGGCAGTGCGGTTGGCGCAGGATAGAGCAGGGTTTAGGGCTGTTGTGCATAGGGTTGCTATGAGTCGGAAACGACTCGACGGCACATAACAACAACAACAACAACTCAAGGTCATATTTTGGCTCTTGTATGATTGTTTTAATTGTCTTCGGTTTCAACTTGAACTTGCATGGAAGCAATGGATAGTATATTCCACAGCACAATCAGTCCCTGGCCTTGTTCTAACTGATGATAGATAATGAACTTCTCTATCATCTCTTTCCTGTGTATCCCATCTGAAGAGATCCACATATATCGCAACCATTTATGTTTATTTAAAAATTGTTTAAAATACATAAGTTTGTTGCATCAAATTCTATCACATGGTGTCCAGCCTGGCTGCCAAGTAACTTCCAACTGCAGCAACTTCTTGTATGCAGAATAGAGTTGCTCCACAGGGTTTTCAAGGCTACGACCTTTCAGATTGCCACACCTGTTTTACAAGGAGCCCCTGGGTGAGTTTGAACCACCAAAATTTTGGCTTATAGTCAAAGATTTAACTGCTTGAAGTCAGGGACTGCTATTACTCTCCAGTTTAATGTCCAGTTTCCCACTGGCTTCAGTAAGAAGTCTCAGCCCCTCAACATGGCTGTCCCTGTTTGCTCCCCAGTCTCAGCATCACCTCTCCTCCCTCCTTATCACTCCCTACCCCACAATGTGCACACACACCCCCTCCACACCCACATACCCCTCAACCCAGTTCATCACTTGTAGGTCTTTTGAAGTCCCATGCAACCTTAGCTTCAAGCATTTGTATCCCTTCTGCCTGGCAGACTCTTCTACTTTTATCCCACCCTTCTGGTACCTCTTTCAAGTTTCAGAAACACCTTCCTCTGGAATACCACCCTGAATCGCCCAGTCTGGATCTGGTGCCTCCAGCTCAGGGCCCTCTATTCTCCTAGCCGAGCACATGCTACATTCCACCATATAGTAGAGTGACTTGTCTGTGTCCCCAGTGCTCTGTGAACACTCTGTGAGGGAGTCACATAGTAATCATTCACTAGAAATGTAATAAATGAATGAATGGAAACTCCTGACTTCCTGCTGTAGTCTGTATCAGCATTCCCCAGAAATCCTTTTTGAATGACTGCAGGTGTAGGCAAGCTGAGGGCATATCCACTTGCTGTTCTGATAGGAAGGCTTGCCAGGGACCTGCTCAGTCCTCTTGGACACCTCTCTGTGCATTTCCTCCTACCAGAACATTCTCCAATGGTGTGTCTCCTGTACACACCGTGTCCTCCAACTCTATACTCACTGACTCTGTAGCACTTGTTAGGCATGATTTGATGGACCCAAAGTCCCTTCCTCCCTAAAGTAGCTTTTTTATCACCCATCCATGCTTAAATTCTTCCCGTAAATGAAGTCTTAATAGTTTTGGCCTACAATTTAAGTCTCAGGTTGTGTTAAAACACAGAGACAGGATTGGTCAGACATCACCCATCTTCAAATATTAATTTGCTTTTCGGCTTCCTTTACAGAGATGAGTATTTTGTTTTCTTTGTCAGAGTTTAGGAAGGAGAGTGCATCTCACAGGGGAGGTTCTGCTCAGATGATGCTAAAAGGTCTACGGTAGATTAGCTGACTCTAAGGTTAGTTACCACCATGGTTGGAAGTGAAAAGCGGTTATGATGACCCAATTTTGAGAATTTCATGCACTAAAGGTGATAGCTTAGTCTGTAGGGAGTTGCACTGCTAACCCAAAAGCTATACTTCTCTGGCTGTTCAAATCCACCAGCAGCTCAGTTCCCTTGTGATTTACAGCTTTGGAAACCTGATGTAGAATCAGCATGAGTTGGTTTTGACTCAGTGGTAATGAGTGTTCGAGTGAGAAAGGGGCTTTCTAATCCTTGTTCCTTGTGAGATGAGAGAGGGCTTCATCAGTTGAATGATTTCTTTCCTGGAATGTGGGTGGCAAAGCAGAAGCAATTACTTCTACAGATTTCAGGACATTGTTTCTCTAATACCTCTGGAGATACCTGTCCAACATCCCTTAGGGTGCTGCTTTGGGTTTTAATGTGTTTTCCTCAAGAGGGACATACACTCCCACGGCTGGGAGGTTTCCGAGTTTCTGGGCCTGCCTATCTCCCAGCCCTTGCCTAGGGCCTGGCTACACATGCCTATTGTTCTTAGTCAGCATCCCCAAATCTCTGTGTCTGTAAACCTTTTAGTCTTTTTTAAAATCTCAGGAAACTCAAGTCCAGGTTATAGAACTAATTCGGGTAAGGGGTCATTTTTTTTTTTTTCACAATGAAAGAGAACCAGCTGGGATAGGGTAACTTCAAACCATCAATATATTCTCAGGTTATCTTGGAAATTGCAGCACTCTGGCCTAGCCTATGAGGACTGTGGGGTCTGGCCTCAATTTAGCTAGGGATGGAAGGAAAACATTAACAGCAAGGAGGTCTCTAAAGGAAACCAGGTGACCTCAAAGGGCAGTTTCTATTTCAGAAGAGTGTGCAGGGAAAGGGAGGAGGAGGGTGTTAGAGTCAGACTGAGTCTGTCTCTCAGGTGATATGCTCTCCCCCTGTTTCTGCCTGTGGGATCTGCACAGTGGGGAGAAGACAAAAGAAAGGGGTTGGACAATGGGAAGATGTGAGCAGCAAGTGCAGACATGCAGAGAGGGAGTGTGCAGCTAGGTAACATAAGGACCAGTAGCGGGCACACCTAGGAGAAACTGAAATAGGCTAAGGCCTGCTGGAGGCAAGTGTCATCATCCCCAAAAGGAGTGGGGTGAACTTTGCCCAAGAAAGGGCAAGGCATCTGAGTAACACATTGTGGGATCTCTGGGCCCAGGAGACACTCCAGGCTCCTTAGATTACCCACTTCCTCCTGGGCACTGGCGAGCCAGGAAAGTCCTGGGAAGTTCAAGGAGAAGTCCCCAGGTCTTTTGCAGGCACAAAGCCAAATTTGGAGCTTGCTGGAATATTCCTGTGGCCTAGGCCCTGGGTACTTAGTCCAGGTGGATGGAGGTTGGGGTCTGATCTCTGACTTCTTTGCTTGTGCTGCGGCTCCAGGACTTTACCCTTCTTCAGCCCTCCCCAGATTGATCTCCAGAGTCCCAGTTCATTCCTAGATTGGAGCTAGTGTCAGATTAGCCAATAAACAAGGCAAGCACTGGCTTACTTGTGCATATTTACTCATCTATAGTGAACAACTTCACATTTCCTCTCTTCCTCCTCCCAGCTTCTCAGTACATCAAAGATTCCACTTTTAGGTGTGTCTGTCAACTGTCTCTCTCCCAAGCTGGTAGTACCTTCCTACTGAAGCAAAGCCTCTTTTCAAATGTACAAGCCTGGACAGAGATGGAGTACCTAGTAAGCAAGGTAAGCATGAGCCTCCTCGTGCTCATATACTAATCCTTAGTGATCAGTTTCACAAGGTTTTTGTGTCAAATGTGAAACCATTCACTACAGATTACTAAGCAAGCATGAGGAAGCCCCCGTTAAAGTCCTCCAGCAGGTTCATGAGAAAGATGGGCAATCTCCTCTTGTGCAATTTACAGCCTTAAAAAGGGAGGGTCAATTATGAGTTAGTTCTGACTCGACAGCAATGAGTTTGAGGTGGCGGTTTGGGCTTTGTTTTTGGTTTTTGTTGCTTAGTAGGTAATCTGTCCCTGATTGTAGCAATTGCTAGCAGTTTCCCAGCCTCTTCTCACCTCTGCCAAAGCACAACCTACATATGTACTCACAGGAGATAACACAGTACCTTTAAAAATATTTTTTTATTATTATTTTTGTGTGTACTGTCAAATCGGATCTGACTGGTACAAAACAAGATTGCCCCTCCTTCTCCAGCAGAGCATCTGGTGGATTCGAACTGTGTACCTCTGGGAACACAGTCCCTTTTATTCCATCACTTGGAAGGCATCTGATCCCTCCTCTGCTGGCTGCCTGACTCTCACCATTGCCCAGCCTCCTCTGGGTTTGTCCCTCTCTGCCTTAGCTCAGCAGGCTGCATTGGCTGCTGACTCTATGGTGCCCAATGACCTCTCCTTCCCCTTTACTCTGTCATTGCTGTTGAGTCATAGCTGACCCCTCCCCTTTGGTTTTCTGATGTAAAGCACACAGGAGGAAGTTGCCCATCTTTCTCCTTCAGAGCCACAAGTGAATTTGAACCACTTGTAAGGGATTCCTAGAGAGGGTGGAGTGCCTGGAAATGGAAAAGAGAAGAGGAGCAGTGTTCTCAGACACAGAGGGGTGGTAGTACCATGGTTGCAGCTAGAGTGAGATGCAGGGAGTATGAGCTGGGAATAAATGGATACAAACCCCACATCACCAAAGACCGAAGTGCTGCCTCAGTGAAGAGCACATACGTGTATGTGCGTGTGCACACACACACACGTATGCACAGGCACACGTGTGCACATAGATGCAGGCACACTTGCACCCCTCTGACCATCTCTCTAGCCAAGCTCTCCCTCCATCTCAATCCCATTAGTATAAGGAAGCAGGGAGAGAAATACTCACAGACATCAGCCTGACGGACGTTTTTCATCCGAATCACCTTCACTGTCAGCAGATAGCATGGATATAGTCCCTCCTGTGGAGTAAGAGGGCAGTGGACTCAGCTTTCAAGCATCACTCCAAACTCAATGCAGCTAGAAGGCCCTTCCCACATCCTCCCCCCAGCTGCTCACCAGCATACTTTTCTGTGTTTCCTATCTGGAAGATTCTAGGAGCCGAGGACACTGACTTTTCATCTTTATATACCCAGTACCTGCAGTATGCCGGCATATAGAAAGAGCTCCATAAGTGATTGTTAAAGGAGTTAATGAATGAATGAGGTTTCAATCCCAAGTGCAGACGAAATGCTCACATCAGGGAATGCTGAGACATTTTCATTCTCCTTTTTACTTCATTGAACAATTTCTCATTGGCACCCTCATCTAGCCACTCGAGAAACATTCTCCTCATCCATAAAAGCTGACAGGCACAGCTGTGACTCAGAGAGGTGACAAACAGTGGACACTTGGTCACTGGGAGTCCTCCTCTCAGGTCCCTTGCATGCTTTACTGAGTGACTTAGCTCCAGGCCAGGGCGCTTATCATCTCTCTTGTCTGCCAGATGTTATTTTTGAGCACGACTATATGTCAAGGAGCCCTGGTGATCAGCATTTCAAACCTATCAGGAGCTCTGTAGCAAGCTACACTGCTAATTTAAAGGTTGCACATCTCCAGCAGTTTGAAATCTCCAGCAGCTTTTTGTAAAATAGATGGACAGTCTCATCTATTATGATTTATATCCTCAGAAACCTGATGGAGGGTTACTGTGAGACTGATCTGACTGGGAAGCAGTTAATTTTGTGTTTTGTTTTTTTAAATGTGTCTCATTCTTTTGAAGAAAGAAGGGCAGTCTTCTGTCAAAATGCACAGGCTTGGAAACTATGGAAGATTTTTACGAGTCAGAACTGGCTCCAAAACAGTGAGTCTGGGTTTTGAGGGTATGATTTGTCAGGCTCTGTGCTGGATACTGGGAGTCAGGAGTGATGGGGCAGAGACAAAGAAGGCCACGACATCAGGTGATGAGAGAGCACTCGTGCTCATACTCAGCTGTGAGTCTCTCCTTGACTCCAGAAGCCTCCCATGGCAGGTCCATGTTGATTATGGCTTTCTGGAGGTTTTTTTTTTGCTCCACAGGGAGCCAGGGCACTCAGGGTGAGGGACCTTACCAAAACACCTCTGGGAGATGGCACCTTCATGGCTATTCCTCTATGGCCTTTTTCTGCCTGAATGCCAGCATTTGAGGCCCCTTCCATGAAAGTTTAACCAGGCCCAGCAAAATCTTTGTTATCCTGGTCCGTGCCCACAAGAGTGCCATCATAGCCCCCAACTCACCTCACTTCTATAAAGGGGATTTGAATTAGAACTCCTTACACATCTTCTCAAATGTTTTTATAATGTAGCATATGTGTTATAATTTTGTTAAAATCACATTATATGTTTTTAAGGAGATGGGCTAATTTTTTTCTTTAAAGTACTATTGGAGTTTTGGAGGGAAATATGAAAGTGTAGAAAGAAGAGTTGCCCATATTCCTAGCACTGAGTGCCATGACTAGTAACTAGTGCGTTGTAGGCCTTTCAGCCCTTTTCAGGACCTCAGTTCTAACCAGTGAAAATAGAACAGCTATTTCCAGGAAGAGTAAGTTATTTATGAGGATAGGGCAAGTCTCTAAACTTGTTGTTCATAGAGTCATTATGAGTCATAGTCAACTCGATGGCATCTACCAACAACAATGACAACTCGCTTATTCTCTGAGATAGACATGTAAGAAAATTTTAAGAGCCTCTTCCTTCTCTTTCCCAAACAATACCCTTGAACAGAAAAAGCTTAGGTGACAGCCATAAACAGCTCTGAGAATTATTTAAAGAAGGATAAAAAAAATCCATTATTTGCTCAAATACCTTACTCTGACAACATTCTGTTTTGATTCTGTTTGTTACTTGGGCCACAAGCAGCATGTACTACTTCTCTTGGCTTTATGCCTGGGCAAGGTGGGCTCCTTATTTCCCATCCCAGTAGAGTGGGTGTCCTGTATGACTTGATTAGGAAGCAAGAGTAAGACTTCACACCCAGAAGAGCAGTTCTTGCGAAACCTGCGCCTACTTGTTCCACTTTCTCAGAGAGCAAGTAGAATCTAAATGGGAGCCCTTGAAGACCTCAGCCTGCACAGAAGGTTGGCTCCCCAGGGATATTTCATGGAGTTTATGGACTAGTGGCCTAGTTCATAGGAAGTTGCACTGCTAACTCAAAGGTTGCAAGGTTGCACCTTTCTGGCAGTTCGAATCTATCACCAACTCCTTGGGAGAAAGATGGGCAATCTCCTCCTGTGTGATTTATAATGTCCAAAAATCAACGGTAGGTCAGCTGTGAGTTAGAACTGCCTCGACGGCAATAAGAAGGGCTTATTTCATCATAAAAACAGACTTGACAATTAGAATAAATTCAAACTTAGGCTCTTCTGATTCTGAGTGACTTCAGTCAAAGTACTCAGCCACAGACACTCCATCTGTAAAATCTACTGTCATTGAGTCCATCCCAACTCAGCTAGGGTCATTGTGAATAGAATCAACTTAAAGACAATGAGTTTTGGGTTGTCTTTAACACAAAGCCAAGAGTATCTTAATGTTTCAGTGATAAGGATTCTAGCTCACCTGCAGGAGACCTGGGTTTGATTTTCAGACAATTTATTCATCCTGTGCAGCCACCACTATGTGTCATTCTTGCTATGATGATTTTTGCTATGAATAGATTTTTATAGACCTCGCAGACCAAACTAAGACAGACTAGAAATAAAAGCCTGGAAATGTGCTTCCAAAATTCAGCCAATGGTTGAAAACATTATGGATCATGACAGTTCTGTGTGCAATGGGTCATGTGTATGGAACAGGCCAGGATCCATCTGCTGTGCATGAGGTCACCAGGCATTCAGGAAAGACTCTGAAGCCAGGGCCTATGGCCTTCTTAGACCATCACAGGCCTCTGCCTTCAGGAGGGGCTACCCTTTATCAAACTGGCTCACTTAGCTTTTATTCCTCAAGTTCTCCGGAAAAGGAAACCCCACAGATTCCTGAAAGAACGCACTTGAAATCTTCCTGCCCTTTCTCTTGCTATCTAACTCTAATGCCTTCTAGTGGTATTGAACATCTCCTCTTACTCAGCAACAACACAACACTGCCATCTGTTAAATGCTTGCCGTGTATCAGGCTTTGGGTCCATATTATCTATATATTGTTTTGTTTAATCCTCACAACAGATGAAGAAATTACTAACCTCATTTTATAGGTGGAATGAGTCTTAGTGGAATAGTGGGGCAAGAATTGGGATACTAACAGAAAAGTAAGTGGTTTGAAATCACCGGCTTCTCCACAAGAGAAAGATGAGGCAGTATGCTCCTGTAAGGTTTACAGCCTTGGGGTCTTACAGGGCGGTCTGCTCTGTCCTGCAGGCTTGCTGAGCCCAGATGGAGCCCATAACAGTAGAGTTTACAGATGGAGAATTTGAAGCTGAGGATTTTGACTGAAGTCACTTAGTTAGAATCAGGAAAGCCTAAGTTTAAAATTATTCTAATTCTCAAGTATGTTCTCATGTTGAAATAAATGGTCTCACCTTACTTAAAAATACTTTTGACTTCATGAAGACAAATGTTATTTGCCCTCATCACTACTTCCTTGAACTTTCTTTGTTAGAACATGTTTCTCTGACATGATCACCCTCTCTTTTTTTACCCTGAATTTTCCCCAAAGCCTAGAAGTAATTCTCAAACAGACCTCCAGTCCATAACACTCTTACTAGCTACACTTCTATTGAAATGTTACATTATCATTTAAAAAAAACAACAACCCCAAACAAATAGGAAACAAACAAGCCAGATTTGATAGTTTTACCACATGTCAGAGCCTTAAGGGTCTTTGGACAAATTCTAAGTTTCTAGCTGTCACTGGGGCCTCCTTTGTGGTCTGCCTTGAACCTCAGACCATACTTTTCTCTCATCCCAGGAACTTCTGAGAGACTTCTGGTTCCAAAGCCCTCCACAAAGTGCTACATTTTATGAGACGAAACACAGAGCCTGGGAAGGAGTTTGAGAGACACTCCAGTAGGGCCCAGAGGAAAGAACACAGTATGTTCAGGGACTTGGGAATGGAGCCCAGGCACACTGAAAGAACCAGGACCGTGAAAAAATGTTTTTGGTTGGTGTTTTTTTGTAGTAAAGTGAATGTACATAATTTGTTCCTGGTATAATCAGCTCAGTCAGAATGGTGCTAGAACTTAGAAAATGACATGGCATTGGAGATTACAGATGTAGAACAGAAAGATATAATACAGCAAAGTGTAATGTCTATGACTATATACAGTAGGAACCAGAAACCAGATTACAGAACTAAAGTTCATAGGGTGGCTTGTGCTTTGCAGCCAAAACATTAGGGAGCTGGACAACCCATTCCTGGGAGAGGGTGACCTATCAGGTGAAAGTCAAAACATTTAACAACAGATATGGTCAGACACTATACCAGCTGGACTGCAGTCAAGGTCAGGGACAGCCGTGAATCCTGCAGAAACTAGTTTGTGAGGGTATTTGAAGGGTCCCTTTGAAGCTCTGTCTCACATACTTTGGGAAGATGGCCATGAAGGACCAGTCCTTGGAGAAAGACATCATGCTTGGAAGGGTAGAGGGATAGAGCAGGAGAGAAAGACCCTGAATGAGATGGATTGATTCAGTGACTGGAGAAATGGAAGTAGGTCTGTTAGAGAGGGTGAGATTGGCTCAGGATAGGGCAGGGTTCAGAGCTAATGAACATAGGTCACTATGAGTCACAAACAACTCGATGGTATATAACAACAACAACAACAAGAAGGAGAACCCAGGAGGCTGAGGCATAAGGCAGGAACTGCTTGCCATGCAGGATAGAAGCATAATTAGATTCTTTAACTATTGGTGCAGTGGTCTCAGAGAGCACAGGCTGGAAGGAAGTTTGGGAGAGACCAGGTGGGAGAGAGAGCCTGCTGTTCAAGCTGCAGACACCTCCAGCTCCAGTGAACCTCCATGAACTCTATCCCTGAGGTTGATCTCGCAGGGACTACCTCCTGAGCCTCAATGTGTCCTTGGGAGGAATGCTCTGTGGGTGCTAGCTCCTCTTCCTCATCAGATGGGGGACCTTGCCAACTTATGTGCAAAAGATAGAGCCCTTGAGGCTCAGGTTCAGCTGTTGTGCAATCCAGTGCTGTTTAATTTTATAGATAGGATAATTATGT